ATCAACACTCATGGAAGCAGCAGTCAAGAAATCAAATGACATATTGCATTAGGCAAATCTGTTGCACAATACGTTTTTAAAGTGTTGAAGAGCAAAGATGTCAGTTTGAGGACTAAGATGCGCCTGATCCAAGCCATGGTATTTTCAATAACCTCACATACATATGAAAGCTGAACAGTGAATAAGGAAGACCCTAGAGGAATTGGTGCGTTTTGAGTTATGGTGTTGGAGAATATTTAAAGTGCCAAGGGCCGCCCAAAGAACCAACAGATCTGTGTTGGAAGTGCAGCCAGAGTGCTTTTTGGCGACCAGAATGACCAAACTTCGTCTCTCATACTTTGGACGTATTGCCAGGAGGGACCAGTCACTGGAGGAGGATATCATGTTTGGTAAGGTGGAGGGTTAGAGAAAAAGAGGAAGAACCTCAGTGAGATGGATTGGCCAAGTGGCCGCATCAGTGGGTTCAAATGTGTCAACAACTGTGAGGTTGGCCCAGGATCGGGCAGTGTTTTGTTCTGTTGTGCACAGGGTCTCTGAGTCGGTACCAACTCAATGGAACCTAACATGATACCAAACAGTTGTCAGTGGAGCTTTCGAACTAAAGTGGCGTAGGAAGAAAGGCCTGATGCTGTCAAAAACCAGCCAATGAAAACCCTGTGGACAAGTCTTATTCTCTACCAATCATAAGGATGGCCAAGGTCCAGACATTGTTTCATTCTGTTGTCTAGGGGTTGTCCTGAGTCAGGCAGCATCCAGCATCCCGATCTTACATATGAAGATAGCTGGCTCAGACAGACTATTTCATGGGACTAAGATCATATGCCACCATTCATCTGTCAGTTTGTTGTACTATGGTCGCCTGTGTGTGTGTTGCTGTGATGCTGTAAACGATGCCATGGGTATTTTAAATACCAGCAGTCACCCATGGTGGAGAGGTTTCAGAGGCGCCTAGGGCTGACTAGGGAGCAGACTTTTGAATGTTTAGGCACTAGGACGTTTATGAACAGCAGTGGAACACTGTCAGCTCAGTGCAGCAAAGTGAGCCCTTCAGGATGGAAGGCTCTCAAAATAGGGCTGGGAAGATGTGCCTCCTCAAAACAGAGTTGATATTATGTGAATGGAGCAAAACTTTCAGGGCCTCCGTTTGCTGATGGGGCACAACTCAGAAAAAGAAGAAACAGCTACAAACACTCATTAGTAATGGGAACGTGGAATGTACACAGTATGAACCTATGAAAATTAGAAGTTGTCAAAAATGCAATGAAACACATAAAGATTGTTATCTTCAGTTGTTACTAAGCTGAAATGGACTGGTATCTGCCACTCTTACTCACATGGTTTACTATGCTGGGGACGACAAACAGAAGAGGAATGGCATAGCATTCACTGTTCAAATGAGCTTGTCAAGATGTCTTGAAGTACAACACTGTTTTAGGATAATGTCATATGCCTACAACCACGACCAAAGAAAGCATTATTCAACCACTAAAGCCAGTGAAGATGGAGTCCTGGTGTGGTGCTGTTAGATAAGCACTGGACTGCTAAATGCGAGATTGGTGGTTCAAATCCACCAGCCACTCCTTGGAAACCCTACACAGGGTTGCTATGAGTCGGAATCAATTTAACAGGGACTTCTGGTGTGGCACTATAGGATCAGCACCGGCCTGTGAGCCACAAGGCCGGCAGGTTAAACCTACCAGTTGCTCCTAAGAAAACCCTATACAGAATCACTGAGTGGGACCCTACACTTGGAATTTGGCAGGGTGGGGCTGGGAGCAGAAGTCACAGTGCAGCAGCAGTGTTGAGGTCTGGCTGTCCCTTCGCAGGGTGCCCACAGGGATGCTGTCATCCTGGGCATGTCCAGTGTGGAGCAGCTGGACCAGAACTTGGTGGCAACTGAAGAAGGATCGTTGAAGCCTGCTGTTGTGGATGCCTTTGACGAAGCCTGGCGCCTGGTTGCCCACGAATGTCCTGCGTATTTTCGTTAAACCCAGACCTGACTTAGGTGGCAGTGGGCACTCCCATCTTTTCGCTTCGTTCAGTCTCACCCCAGCCATTTATGCCTGACCTGCTGCTGCCTGTCTTCCTCATCACCCTAGCTCACAAGGTGATTATTCACATCCTTGCAATGCTTACTTAGTGTGAAAAGGCTGGGCTCAGCTTTCCCAGGGTGCTTCCTGTCTGAATAAAGCAGGCCTGGAGTGAACCTGGCACACGTCTCTCACCGTTACTAAGTGCCTAGTGAGAGACGCAGAAGTACATACTGGAGTCTTCAGAAACCAATCAGTGGGAGGGCCTTACGCACACACTGCCTCATCTCCCTCAGGGCTGTTGGAATCCAGCCTGACCTCAACAGTGGGGCAGGTGGCAACTCTCCCTTCCTGATATGTGACAGAAAAACAGAGGGCCATACACACCACCACAGGCTGTCTTTCTTCAGAAAGTCCTTGTCTAGGCAAGAGAGACCCAGAGCTCGAGAAGAGAACCTGCCATGGCCATCGTGCTCACTGTTCCGAGCCACAAGCTGCTCTGTCACGGTGGTCATGCCGGCACCCGAGGCAAACAGGGATCCTGGAGCCCGGACAAAAGCATAAACCAAAGGCCTCTTTTTCTAAGAAAAGTTCTTCTGCTGCCCACAGGGAGAGAGCCTGCAGGTGAGGTTTTATTCTTTATAAAACATAGTCCCTTTCACCCTTCCCTGTAACAAAATAAATAGCTGCTCTCTCGAGCGTGCTGGAGGCCTCAGTCCCAGGCACCCCGGTCAGTCATCATCATCGTCTTCTTCTGACTCTTCTTCCGATTCGGATGCGCTCTCTGGCAAGTCACAGCCCATCTGTTCAAACCTTCCAGACGCCGCGTCCCACACGTATTTGATGGTCACTTTGAACTCGGCCATCTCATAGCCAAAAAGCTTCTGCAAGAGACGTGGCCAGGAGGTGGGAGAAACAAGTCACCAGAAGCCTGAGTGAATGCTTTCAGCAGAGCTAAGCAGCGTCCCCTCTTACACTGCCCCGACTGACCTCAGGACAGACCCTTCAATGGGCACTTACCAGGACGCGGGCCTGCTCCGGGGTCAGCACGTCGCCCTCCTTGCATACCTCGTAGTCAGAGAGCAGGGTTACCACACCTGTAGGGTAGAGTGGCCCCAAGCAATCACACCTGGACCAGAGGACTGTACAGCACTATAGCCCTCTACCCCAAGGTGGATGGAATCTGGTTGGCCACTTGTCCTCCCTACAGTGCACACACACACTGGTTCCGTGGTTTCTTCCATGAATGTCCCTAAGTGCTGCATGCTGGCTGTAAATTACTGCCCACTTCAAACCCCAGCTCTGAGGTGAACACTGTCCCCATTGTCACAAGAAGTGAAATAACTTGTTCAGCAGAAGGTGGCCTGTGCCCGTGCCCTTGGCTCTCAGGCTTTGTCTCTACTTTCCAGCTGGTGTCCCCACCCTCTTACCTTTCTTCAGAGCAGTAGGCAGGCCCAGCTGCCGCAGCTGTGGCTCCATGGAGTGAGGGAACTGCTGTAGGGGCCCGGGGTCCAGGCTCACCGAGAACGTAGCTTTGTTACCAGCACGGGCATAGTCCATTTCCGCGAATTTAGTGAACCACCTGAGGGGAGAGAAGTAGTGGGAGATGACCTTTCTGACTGGACCACTAGGCCCTGCCCACCTCAGCTGCTGGTCTGGAGAAGACCTCTGACCTCATGTGCCTATCACCATCCCTCTCCTGTGGTTGTGCCAATGCTGGAGGAGGCAGCCAGGCGGCCAGCACTGGGCTTGTCAGAACCCGCGAGTCCCAGTTTCTATCTGATGCCTCCACAGGGGCACTCCATCCCTGCATCCTCACCCACCTCTCTCTTCCCCACGGTTCCTCACAAGCACCTACTCATTCACTTCCTCCTTGGTGCGATTGGTGAAAAGGAGACCAACTTCTCCCCTCAGCTTCTTGCTGACCTACAAAACAAGGTAGCAGGGGTCTGGTCACAGGCCAGTGACTCTCAACTGGGAGATAATTTTGCCCCCCAGGAGACATCTGTGGTTGTCACAGGTAGGGCTGGCGATTAAAGAAGCCAGAGCTTTAAGTGAGGCCTTGCTTTCCCTCTTCCCTGGGCCAGGTGCCTCTCCTGAGAGCCGCAGGGGGCAGAGCAGCTTGGCTTTGGCTCCTCCCACCTCTGGTAGTGTAGTGGTTACGAGTCGGGCTGCCAACCTCAAGGTCAGCAGTTCGAAACTACTAGCAGTTCTGAGGGAGAAAGAGGAGGCTTTCTGCTCCTGTAAAGACTTACAGCCTTGGAAACCCTGTACAGGGTCGCTATAAGTCGGAACTGACTCCATGGTAATTAACACATAACAACAACAACAACCGAGGGCCAGAAACTCACCTGGTGCAGGTTGTCTTTGTACTCATCAGATGGGCTTCGACCCAATGCCACCATCATCACCTTGTTTTTGCCAAAGAACATTCTGCGGGAAAATAGTGGGTGGGTAACTCTGAAGGAAGTGTCTGGCCAGCAGGCCCTTTGGTGGTGGTTATCTGCTGTGAAGCCAGTTCTGACTCATGACGACCCCGCGTAGGCTTTCCAAGGCTACGTAAATCTGTATGGGAACAGCTGGTAATTTGAAACCGCTAACCTTAAGGTTAGGAGCTCTGGTAGCGTAGCGGTTACGAATCGGGCTGTGAACCGCAAGGTCAGCAGTTCGAAACTACCAGCGGTTCCGCGAGAGAAAGAAGAGGCGTTCTGCTCCCGTAAAGATTTACAGCCTTGGAAACCCTGTGCAGGGTCGCTATGAGTCGGAACCGACTCCACGGCACTTAACAACAACAACCTTAAGGTTTGCAGTCTGACTGTACCCATTACACTACCATAGCTCCTTAGCGGGTCCTTCGCTGAGGGCTAATGCAGCTTTGGCCCAAGAGGAAGGAAGCTGCGAGGTCCAGACTCACACTTCTCCCTGCAGCCCTGCCCACCCTGTCCACATATAATCCAGGGTCGCTTTCACTATTTTCCCAGCACACTGAATTTTCGGGAACAGTCCCTTCTCCTGTCTGGCTATCTAGAGGAACGTATTTAATAGTGGACAGCAGAGCAAGTGCAGCCAGGTAGCTGGAGCTAGCAACCTGCCCTCAGCAGGGAGTGTGCCATCGTTCCTGCCATCGTTCTCGGTGAGTCACCATCTGTGCTGGACTGCGAGTCCCTGCCCTCTTCCCCACTTCCTGCTCACCGGCTGTGCTTCCAGGCATTCCGGATGTCCTTCAGCTTGCTGTTCCTCATGTTGGCCACAGAGAAGATGAAGAGGTACTTGTACGTGTCCACACATTTCCGAAGCTGTGGGGCAATTCAGGGGGCTCTGGAGTTAAAGGGGGCAGCATGGGTTGGGGAGTACTTTGGCCTCACAGGGGCAAAAATCTGCTGGAGGGTCCTTGGTCCTGTAGAACTAGAATTGGAGGCCCCTTATTGGGTCTCTCCACTAATAACACCAGAATCACTAACTGCAGGACCCCACTCCCCACCCCTCCACTGTAAAACTGAGCGCAGGAGCAGCTGAGCCAGGGCTGGAGGAGGTTTCGTGGTCTTGACCAGGCTCTGACTTATCTATGGCCTCCAGTGGCATCAACCACTTCTCTGCTGTGCCAATTACTAGCAACCCAGAAACACATCTCTATGAGGAAGGCAGCTGCTAAACATAAATATGCGTAAAAAACAAAACCCACTACCACGGAGTTAATTCCTACTCAGAGTGGCCCTATGGAACGGAACAGAACTGCTCCATAGGGCTCCCAAGACGATGTGTAACTTTATAGGAGCAGACTACCTCATCCTTCTCCTGCGCAGTGGTTGATGGATTTGAACTGCTGACCTTGATGTGAGCAGCCCAACCCTTAACCTAAGGTGGCACACCAGGGCTCCCCAATGGAAATAAGTTGGTGTTTTAAAGTGCTGTCAAGTTAGTTCCGACTCACAGTGACCCTAGATAGGGTTTCCGAGGAGTGGCTGGTAGGTTTGAACCACTGACTTTGTGGTTACAGTCCAGTGCTGATCCTATAGCACCCCACTAGGACTCCTGCCGTTGTTAAGTGCCATCGAATCAGTTACAACTCACAGAGGCCCAGGACTGGATGTCCGAGGCTTTAAATCATTGTAGGAGCTTCCAGGACTCCTTATTAAGTGCTGTTGAGTCTGTTCTGGCTCATAGCGACCCTGTATATAAGGCTTCTAAGGAGCGACTGGTGAGTTTGAACCACTGACCTTGTGGTCCAGTGCTTTATCCTACATTGCCATACCAGGACTCCTAGAGTCTCATTAATTTACTCAGGAGACATGGTGGAATTTGGGCACCGCTCTGTTTATGCCACATGGAGTCATGATGTGGCTCAACAAGTTAATAGGGACTCCTGCTGTAGCACTGTAGGATCAACCCTGGACTGTGAAGCCTCAGTTGGCAGTTCAAACTCACCAGCTGTTTCTCGAAAACCCTACACAGGGTCACTGAATCTGAACTGACTCGATGGCACTTAACAACACCACCTGCTAACTCCTTCCCTTTCTGACACCTGACAGACTAACCTCCATAAGCTTCATTTACCCCAACGAAATAACCAACCAACCAAAAAACACTAAACCCTCGGCACAGTGCACAAAGTAAGAGCTAATCAAAACTAAAAAACCATTCTTGTTATTATGTGCCGTTCAGGTGGGTCTGACTCATAGCGACCCTGTGCAGGGTATTTGAGGAGTGGCTGGTGGATTTGAACCAGTGACCTTTCAGTCCAGCGCTTACCCTAGAGCGCCACACCAGGACTCCATTACCATGGTGGTTTATTATTGGTGCTGCTGCTATAGGAAAACGGATGAGTACTTTTTTAAAAAAAAAACCCAACAACAAACAAAACAGAATGGTCCCCTAGCCAACAGTTCTACACCCAACCTTAAAAACCTAACACAAGCTCTGGAAAAATAAGATGGTCAAACGGATCTCACCTCTTCTATCAGGTTCTGTTTCAGTTCCAAGCCTTTCTTGGCAGTTTTGGTTAAGGACACTAATACAAAAAAAGGAGAAAAGGAAAAGGAGCGCTGATGAGACACAAATCTGGATGTCCCTGGAGACCACTGTCTTTGCTTTTGTAGTTTAGGCAAGGCAGCCAGGCTTCTGGCGGATGTCATCATTTCTGGCCTGCAAGGTTGTTCCCAAGGGCCCATTGAGTGTCTCTTCTCCAGCATTCTGGGGCCTGGAGCTGCATGTTCATTTCAGTCTGGCAATCTGCAGTCATGCCTCAGTGGGGCCAACATCTCTAATAACAGCTGGAGCCCAATCTGCCACTTCCAGAACAGAGTAGCATTTGCCAGATTTGACCAGTTTCCCTCCAGAGAGTCAAAATTTTCCACAACTGTGTAACAGACCACCAACTGCAAAGCCCTGGGTGCTCCCATGAAAGACCCAGGTCAGAAATGATGACATCTTAAAGGAGTCAACCTGCTTATTCAGGGTCGCTATGAGTCGGAACTGACTCCAAGGCACTTAACAACTCTCAAAAGTAGACACACACTCTTGGCCATTTCTTGTTGTGTCAACGGCTGCAACTTTAGTCCAAGCCAGTGTCCTGCGCTCTTGGATTACTGGTTCTGTTTGCATTTTTGCCCTGCCCTGATCTCCTCTCCTCCTGATTCACCCTCAACAAAGCTACCAGAAGGCTCCTTGCAAACAAATGCTGCATCATTCCTCCCCCTCAAAGCCCTTCCCACTTTGCTTCTCCTTCATCTCTCACTCTTGTTCACTTGGCTCCAGCCACATTCCAGCCTGTGTCAAGCAAGCTCCTGTTTTGGAGCCTTTGTACTTTCTGTTCCCTCTTCCAGATAGCTCTTTGGGTCTCTCACTCCCTTTCTTCAGGAATCTGCTCATTTGACACTTCATTAAAGACCTTCCCTGAAACACTAAACTTTTTCACTCCATCTTGTTTTCATAGGGCTTATACTGAGAATGGAAATGTCTCAATTTTTTTGAAACTATAGTAAGCTGGCGAAGAACTAGACCTTTCCTTTTGTAACTGCTGCCGTTCCCGCACCCCTCATCCCAAGTGCCAGATACGTGCTTTGTTGTTAAGTGTCATCAAGTCGGTTCCGAATCATAGCGACCCAGGATAGGGTTTCCGAGGGACATCTGGTGGGTTTGAACCGCAAGGTGGCGTTTCCAGCACCACACCAGGGCTCCCCAAATATTTGTTAAGTGAATGAATGAGTGAAACCACCATAAGGGTAGTCAGGAATAGTCTCTTAGGAGGTGACAACTGCGAAAAAGCCAGTAACATATCGGGTCGTAATCGCTATGAGCCGACTCAACGACACCTAACAAGATGTATGTCAGGCAGAAGGCAGTGCAGGGGGCCAGACGCAGAAGGTGGCAAAGGCAGCCAGGGTGACGGCAGCGCAGGCAGGGTGGGCCCAGGGGAGACGAGGAACAGTCTGGGTTCTCAGAAGTTGTTTTCTAACGAGTCAGTCTTAGAAGTGCACCTAAAACCAGGTAAAACCGTCTCCGATCCCTTGACCCGAAAAGCTCCTGCCGCCCCGAGGCCTCCTTCTCAACTCTCAGAGAGCCCGCGGGGCTCCAAGAGAAGGTCCTGGTACCTTCCGTAGCTCCCTCTGTTCCCAAGCCCCTAACACTGCTGTCAACCTGCCCAAGAACTCCTCACCGGGTCCCGACGCTCCTTTCTCCTACCTTTCTTGTCGCGCTTGGATTTAGGCATCACGCTGAAGACACGTGCTGAAGATGGTAGCGCTGCCTTTTAGGACCCCGACGGCGCGGGGGCTTCTGGGACGGTCTTTTGAATCTGCCCTAACGCGTGCCTGACCCAATCTGCGCTGAGACGCCCCTCTTCGGTCGGACCTCCACTTGCGCTTCTCCCCGCGTCTTCAGGACGACTTCCGTACGTCCGGATGGCCTCTGAGGCCCAAGCGCCCGCCGAGAGTCTCTGGCGAGAGTTCCCCACTCTATGGTTCGGCAGGGGAGGAGCCTGCGGCCCTGGGCATGCCGGGCCGGCGGCGGGCGGTGGGCGGTGCCTGCTCTCCCATCATGGCGGCGGCACGGTTTTCCCGTTTCTACCTCTGTGCTTTGATCCTCAGCGCGGCTGCCGCAGTCTACGAAGACCAAGTGGGCAAGTTTGATTGGTGCGTACATGTGAGACCTGTTCAGGAAGGATGGGATTATTTCCTTACGCCCTGTTATGGAAAAGGGTTACCATCCAGTAGATTTAGTGGGACCCAGTGCAAAATGAACATGCTGGCCCCCCTCTTCGGAAATTAAGGACATTAGGCGGTGACAGCTGAGCATTAAACCAAGCACGGGACCTTTCAAAGTAGGACCTTGTGCGACTTAGAAGGTCACGCACTCATGAAGCGGGACTTGCCATTCAGACGTACGTGGAGCCTGTTCAGAAGTCATTGATCCTTCCTACTCTGCCAGGCCCCATTTTTGTGACAGTCAGGTTTCGGTTCCACTGGGTGTCGGTGGTCGCCCGCTGTCACTGAACTTTCTCCTGGGCCTGTGAAGTTTTAGGAGTTCCAAACCGAGCCCACTAGCCCTTGCCCTGGTTTCGGAGCGCAGGTCCTCAACCCCAACCCTTCAAATACATCTGGAGCTGCCATTCATTCGTCCACTTACACCAATCCCTAGTCCTTCGTTAGGGCCCTGAATAATAAATGATGTAGATTTTACTGCCTGCTGCCTGGGCATTTTCAGGCAAAAGAGTTTAATAAGAAGGTATGTTACCTTCTTACTGGGAGCCCTGGCTGTTGTTACGTGCCATCGTGCCATGGAGTCGGTTACGACTCATGTTGTTGTTGTTATGTGCTGTGGAGTCGGTTCCAACTCATAGTGACCCTGTATAAGGTTTCCAAAGAGCAGCCAGTGAGCTTGAACCGCCGACCTTGTGGTCCAGTGTTTATCCTACTGCGCCACACCAGCATAATGGATTACAAGCTGAGCTGCTATTCCCAAGGTCAGTAGTTCAGCAGTTTGAATCTATCAGCTGCTCTGTGGGAGAAAGATGAGACTTTCAAGGTTTGCAGCCTTGGAAATCTTTGCTGTTAAATGCTGTTGAGTCTTCTGACCCATACCCACCCTGGATAGGGTTTCCGAGGAGTGGTTGGTAAGTTTGAACCGCTGACCTGGCAGTTCAAACTGTCTTTGCGGTCCAGTACTTATCCTATCCTATAGCATCAGGCCGGAACTCCAGCCTCACTATGAGTTGGAACCTACTTTCGGCACACAACCACCACCACCACCGTCTACAATTGTTCTGAGGATGAATGCCTGGCCCATTGAATGCACACTATAAATGTTATCCAGTATTACTAATTCAGGGCACACTTATCCTTCAGAGTCTATCTCCATTGTGAAGTTTTTTTTTCTGTCACAAATTGATTCATACATTTGTTGATTGCCTGCTGTGTGCTTGGTGTTGTCTGAGTTGGTGTTATGGATACAGAGATTGGTTGTCTAAATGTAGTGTATCCCACAGAGCAAACGTTCACAACATCATACGTGCATTTTATATACGTACTATACACGTAGCATCATTTAATAATTTGCCCAGAGAATCTTTCAATAACGAAAGTCGAGG